ATCCCCTGCGCAATCAAGGTGTCCTCTCCTCCCCTGCCTGTCTTCTCTCCCCTCCCTCTACAGCTCTGTGCTGCCTCACCTCCACACGCTGTCTCCTGTGGCACACTCTGTCCTCTCAGCCCTATCTCCTCCCTGACAAACTCATCGGGTCTGCATTCATTGCACTGCATTCCCTGCCTTAAATAAAATCAGCCCCAATCAACCTTGCCCTGCTCCCAAGGATAGGGACTGATATACCTACAAAGGGTATATAGGGTATAGGGTATAGGGGACCCTGTTCTTTGGACAGAGGGTCATTTTTTATCATCCTCCAATCTGAGGCCGTGAGATGGGCGGGAGCAGGTGTCCAGGAAGGTTCTTCTGTGCTCTCTTTTCCTATTAATGTCCTCAGTTCTAAAAGGGTATGTGGACTTTCTGATTCCCATGTTTTTTCATATGCCCTGGCACCCAGATGGCTTTTCATCCTTCCTTGGGTATTCCCATTTGTTGGATCAGGACAAGGTTAGCTGAGACTCCTTGGGCTCCTTGGTGTCCTCTAGCCTGTAACCAGGGGGAGGCTTGGGAGGTGCTGAGCTTCCTGGTACTAAATTCTCATGAGTGGCTGCTTTCTCAGTACTAAGGGAGGAAGCAGAGGGTAGTGTCAGCCCAAAGGACAGTCTTATTGATGCCACCAGCTGTTCTCCAGAAGCAGCAGTAGCCACAGTCTAAGGAATCTACCCTGCTCCTTCCCTAAGTGAACAGGAATGGAACCCTCCTAAAATACCCATTTCCCACTTTTGCCCCCACCCCTGTCCATCATCACATTTCTCAGGATACATTAGAGAAGAAAGCATTGGAATATCAACTAGTGGGTGCAGATTTGACCCTGACCCTAGGAGACAGGTCAGTTGTGATAAGGGCCTTTTTGGGAGAAATTCCGCCAATTTCAGCTTCCCTTTTCCTCATCTGTAAATGAGGTTGGTGAAAACTCCACTTCACAGTATGACCCTCCCCCACTAAAGCTTCTATATTTGATTCTTGTTTATTTTTCCTCTATATTCTTAAAAGTAACATCAAACACAGAGACATTGAACTTGATGCTTATATATATTCATTGACACAGAACTCCACAATATATAGTTTGGTAAAAAATACACAGTATAGAACAGCACTTTTATTTGTTCACTTTTCTATACATATATCTATCTGGGTACACAGTTACAGGGAAATACCTAGAAGGGCATTCATCAAAGGACTGACAATGTTTATATAAGGATGAAGAGTTTTGGGTAATTTGTATTTTCCTTCATTTTGTGAAGGTTTAACAGAGTTCTACTCCTTTCATAAAAAGAATAGTCATCAAGGAATCAGACACACACACAGAATAGACCCTTAGGCAGACAGAGGAGGGAGCAGGGACAGAGTTCAGGCTATCCCCTCCACTTTGGTGATATCCAAGACCTCTTCTGCCCACAATAAAGCCACTTTGTGGATTAATTAATGCAGATAGAAATCTACTCCCACCCCTGCTCTTTTTCCCATCTGAATACAGTTAAGGGTTCACTTAGGGCTCATTCTAGCACCTTACTAGAGGCCCAGAGAGGTCATTGTGTTCACCAGGAATCTCTTTTGACCTCTCCTCTGTATGTGTCAGCTTCTGCAGGGTGATGATCAGATTCTCTATCACCTGGGCCTTGTTGCTCTCACTCTTACAGGTTTCCTTTGAGTGGCCCTCCTCACCACAATAAGAACAGAAGATTGTGTAGTTTCGCTTCCTGGCTCTACGCGTATCCCCAGGACCATTATTCTTATACCCAGAACCCCCACTGGTGGGAGATTGAGCCCGGGAACTGTTGGAGGAATCAGTGACCAGTATTGGATCGAGAGGTCTGGCCCTGCCTCTGAGGGGCGGGGCATCGACGGATGTAAGTAGAGGGTCCTGAGACTCCACCAGGATCACATCCTCATCTGAGTCATCAAGGGTATCATCTACCTCTATCACGTTGCAGTTGGTGCTGCTGGTTGCTATTGGCTGGGGGCCCTGAAATGCTACAGGGCTTGCTGCCCTCTCTAAGATTAGCTCATACCTTTTGGGCCGTTTCGGTTTCATAAAAGTGTCATTCCAATCCTCTTCTTCCCTTATCATCTTGATTAACTCCAAGAAATTAGGAAGATGCTCCTGATCATTTGCATACATCCTGAGAAGATGTTTCAGCCTAAAGTGCAGGTCCCTATTTAGCTCAGCTCCTAAAAGGAGCTGGTGCAGGTGAGTCTGGTTTGCATCTTTCTGAGCTATGATCCCTGCCTGAATAGCATTCTGGAGCTGCACTTCTAAACGGATCACATAAAGGGAGGCTTTCTCCCCTTGTGCCTGCAAAGTGTTAAAAAATTTACCATGGGCGGTGACACTGCTTTCTGACTCCCCAAACACCAGTTTCATCGCCCGTAGGAAATCAGCCACACTTAGATTGGGGTTGGCGGCCTGGAGCAAACGCATGACCTCCTGGGCTGGGCCCCTAAGGGTTTTCATCAAGCGCTTGAGCTTTTCCTCCTCAGACATGTTCCAATCGGGCAGGACCCCATTGACTTGGATCAGCCAGTTTTCAAAGGTTTCTTCCCCTTGG